TTTACATATCCTATACTTAGTCATTACTTTGTCTGTTAGCAAGTGCAAACAACACTGCACACCCCAGCATTTAGAATCATGATGCATAGGCAAGGAATGAGACCATTAAATCAAAACAAGGGTGTTGCCTTCTCTGCAAACTGTTACAGTAATTTTAGACACTTCATTTTCAATCTGCTGTGAAAATTCAAGTCATGATGAAGGTGTGTTTGCTAAGTCAGTAGCTGGAGCATAGAATATAATCCAGCTCGTCCTGTTTTAGCAATACAGCCATGACTTTCGACTGCCTATAATCAGTTTACTTATCCCCACAAATACTATAACAAAAGACTGAAAGCCCAAAGTGGACTTTATTTTTTATTTTTGTTTTGCGAAGGATGTGCCAAACCTGTGAAATAAGGTTACAGTGGGGCAAAAAAGTATTTAGTCAGCCACCGATTGTGCAAGTTCCCCCACCTAAAATGATGACAGAGGTCAGTAATTTGCACCAGAGGTACACTTCAACTGTGAGAGACAGAATGTGAAAAAAAAATCCATGAATCCACATGGTAGGATTTGTAAAGAATTTATTCGTAAATCAGGGTGGAAAATAAGTATTTGGTCAATAACAAAAATACAACTCAATACTTTGTAACATAACCTTTGTTGGCAATAACAGAGGTCAAACGTTTACTATAGGTCTTTACCAGGTTTGCACACACAGTAGCTGGTATTTTGGCCCATTCCTCCATGCAGATCTTCTCGAGAGCAGTGATGTTTTGGGGCTGTCGCCGAGCAACACGGACTTTCAACTCCCGCCACAGATTTTCTATGGGGTTGAGGTCTGGAGACTGGCTAGGCCACTCCAGGACTTTCAAATGCTTCTTACGGAGCCACTCCTTTGTTGCCCGGGCAGTGTGTTTTGGATCATTGTCATGTTGGAAGACCCAGCCTCGTTTCATCTTCAAAGTTCTCACTGATGTTCTGTGAAATACTTTTTTGCCCCACTGTACATATATGTACACGTACATAAAAGAATAAATAAAGAAGAACAAAGAAGAATTGTTAGTTTGGTTAACTGACCTGTTTCACAGTTTCCTCAACACTGTTTTAACAATAGCTCTTTGTTTCTTTTGTATTTTTCCCCCGTTTTTAATCTTCATTGACAAACTGCTCTGGGAGAATACCAAAAGAGGAAAGGGAGGTGACTGAGAACAGGTTGTCCCTGTTTCTGTGGGGTTTTTTTTAATGCACCTGAACATGCACAAAATGCTCCTGTGACGGAGTTACACTGTCCCGGGCTGTAGACAGCTGACCTGAGCACATACATGCATCACCACCATTAGTTTCTACACTTGTCACGCTGGGTCACCGCGGCGGCGCGTCTTTTAGGTGACAGATAACAAAAAGGGGTGAGAGCAGGGGCGGCTCTAGATGGGTGGCATGGGGTGGCAAATAAAATTGCCACCCTAAAATAATCCTTTGCCACCTCAAGTGCCACTCTAGTTTTGCATATGACAGTGTTGTTTATTAAAGTAAGATAGCATTACCACTTTGAGCGTAGTTACAGTTAACATTAAATATAAATGCTGAAACTGAATATATTGCATAGTGTTAAAAAACTGCTTGATTTTGCCACCCCATTTGATTTCTTTGCCACCCTAAGAAAATTTCTCTAGAGCCGCCCCTGGGTGAGAGGTATATTCGAGCGGTACAGAGAGTGGCCACTGGCCAACATATTTTTTTTAACTTACCGTTATTAAAGCTGGTTGCGTAGACTCTCTGTGATCGCCGATTATGTGAGTGGTTATGTAAGCCAATGGTATGGTGTTCCAGGGTTCAAATAGTGGGTTTGAGCGCGCTTCCAGTTTAGACGTGAACTGTATTATTTTTGTTTGTTTGTTTGTTTGTTTTTTTGTTGAAACACTGTAGGCTGCCTCGAAGTGGCCATAAATGTCTGTATACATGACGGCCAACAATAATAAACATCGATTATTGTTGGTAAGTATCCAACTTAGACACAGAAAGGCCTATGCTACTAAAAAAAAAATACACTTAACCACATAGAAATAATCAAGCTATAGATTTAACACTATATTTACAATAAAGATAATAAACTATCACCATTTGGAGGGATAGACAATCATTCTGGAAAATACAATAATTATAATTCTACAACTGTTTACAACTGTTTATAACTTGCATAGTTCATATTTCTGTATAGTTTTCATATGTATATCCCCAAAAGACAAGGGTTGAATTGTAACCTCTTAAGCCCTAACGTCCCCTGATACGGGGGCAAAAGGCAGGAGATCAGTGAAACATACATTTTAGAACAGTATATAACTTAGATGCACTCTAGGCCGAGTAGATTTTAATTGTCCCCAGTCGGTTTGAAAGGTCTTTTAAAAAAAATAAAAAATAAAAAATTCCATCGTGGATTTTTGTACCATGGAGCTAATTAGCACAAAGGGGTTGAGCTTGACAGCAAATTGCCAAAAAAAAGCCACCTTGCATTCAGACATTACTTGCAGATACAGAAAAACTGATGCCTGGTGAAGAATATCGTGGAACCCCACAATCATCATAATGACTATCCTCCTTCCCATCCATGATACTGATGAAATAAAGATGTAAACAAGTGTTTTGTTTATTTGTTCTTTTTTTGGGAGTTGGAGTGAAACAGAAAAATGACTGACTGATCATGCAGATACATTTGTAAGGAACAACACAACTTGAAATACTAAACAACCAAAAATGACATTAACAATGAAACGTTTGTACATATTATCTTATTGCCGCACACCAGTCTAGATGCATTAGGTTTTAAAGAAATTATTTACATTGTTTTTCAATTTTACCACAAATAAATAAATAAACATGGAAGGTCATTATTGTCTGAGTTTTTAAGGAGCTTGGAAAGAAAAGCGTCTGGACTTCTTTAAGTTGCTTGAAGACGTTTCACTTCTCATCCGAGAAGCTTCTTCAGTTCTAAGGTCAAATGGCGGAGAGTCCATGATTTAAACCCAGTGGGAGTATCCCCCCAAAGAGAGACAAAAGGACCCCCTGATGATCCTCTACCTCAGCAGTTCCCAAACTTTTTTTGTGAGGCTACCATATGTGAGGAGCAGAATCTTAAATTTAGTTCTGGATTTGATGGGAAGCCAATAAAGAGAAGAAGCCAATATTGGAGAAATATGCTGCCTGTTTGTAGTTCCTGTCAGTACTCTTGCTGCAGCATTTTGGATCAACTGAAGGCTTTTCAGGAAGTTTTTAAGACAATCTAGAAGATTACAATCTAGAAGTAATAAATGCATGAACTATTTTTTTAGCATCAATTTTAGAGATATTGCCCAAGTGGAAAAAATACTGCATGTTTCTTTAAGACATTCTTGCAGTATAACTGGTGTGTTGTTTGTGTTATCTGGTTTCATGGACAGATAAAGCGGGGTATCATCTGCATAGAAGTGATTATGTGTCATATGCCTTCAAATGAAACTGCCTAAGGAAAGCATGTATAATGTAAGCATAATTACCTAAGTGTGTAAAGAGGACTCAACATTTAGGTCAGGGGTCTCAAACTCGAGTCCTCAAAAGCCAGCGTCCTGCAACTTTTCAACGTGTCCCTATTGCAACACATCTGAATATAATTAGTAGGTCATTAGCAAGACTCAATAGAACTAGACTGCATGCTCAGGTGGCAGTTCAGCCATTTGATTCATGTTACAGCAGCTCATGAGTACACGGTGGAATGATTTTTCCAAACACTTACATTTACTTAAATTTATTTGAGTAGGGGTAAGGGTTGCCATATCAGCATGCAGTCAAGTTCTATATTCTTGCTAATAACCTAGTAATTGGGCACTGTGTCGCACCGTCTATCTATCGTCAGTCTATCTTCGCACAAGCCAGGTCCTTTCCCCTTGAGCCTGGCTTCTACATGCTCCTTCTTCCTGGAGTCTGAGCCTCTCTTCCTTTTTGCCTGCTCAGCCAGTTTTTTAACAGATCCATTCAGCAGCTGATAAGCCACCTAAGGGCGCACCCACACCTCAACAGGTGGATTCTAATTACCAATTTGTCCATTGCCCAACCAGTCCACAGTGAATTAAAAATAATTCCTGCAAAGCACTGAAAACATGCAATACAAATATCAAAATCAAAATGAAAATCATGCAAATAAACACACTAAAATTGACTATAAGACAAATCCAAATTTTCACTGTGACATTTGCATGAACCAATTGAAGTACATTAGACAGCATGCTCTAATCCAGCGGTTCCCAAACTTTTTTTCGCTAGGACCCCTCTGTTTCACAAGAAAAATGTTACGTTAACATTTTAAGATCTTACTATCTTCAGGTTTTACATGCTTAGATATACACACACAACTCCTGTTCCTCCATTTAGAAAGGCAGAGGCGACATGGTGTAATTATTTTACTTGTAGTTGTTTTTTTAATGTGTAATAATATTCAAAGTTGCTATAAAATGAAAAAAATGCCCGTGACAGGGGGAACAAATTACAGCAGGATCAGCCTGATATTATTTGTATCCCACTGTAACTTTACTGTATAAAGAGCTAACATCTCCAAAATGTCAGGAGTAGTTAGTCATTAAGTGTTTGTGAACTTAAAATCAAGAATGAGGGATACTGTTTGTCTGTGATTTGGAGAGCCCAGTGCGTGCTCCCGACGAAGGGAAAAGCAATTATGCAGGGGAGACCTACCTTGGCACTTGTGCAGGTGAAGCCAAAGGGAGGACATGCTTCATCATATTTTCTAGTCTTTGGGTTGGAAGGAGGTTGGTTTGGAAATGCTTATGCTTCATTTCCTGCTTTGCGTTTGTGTGGGCGCCCCGTCAAAAACCTGTCTAAAGCAGTGTCCAAGCATTCATTCATTCATTCTTTTTTTTTTTTTTTTAAATGTATTTATTTATGCAAGTTTCAAAATTTTTACACATTCACAAACAGCGGGACAGAGAACACAGACAATAAAGACAATAACAACAAAAAAAAACAAAACAAACAAACAAACAAAAAAAAAAAAAACAGAGCAACAAACCACACAACAGGGTACAAGGCCAGCACTTATTAAAAACAGCAGAGAAGCAAACAAAGCAACTGGTATACATGTCAAACAACTCACAATCTAGTGAGTCCAATCCACAAGATCAAATCCAAAGATCGCTAGGAGGAGCTGATAACAATCATGCAAAAACAGTTATGGGCAACAGCTCAGAATGAAAGCAGTTAAAACAATGTGGTCAGGACCCAGGGCGTGGACTGTCCTTCTTAATGTGGTCTATAAAGGGCCCCCATATCTTCCTGAACTTCTCCATGGAATCAGACGTAGAGAACCGAATTTCTTCCAGGTATAAACAGGAGACCATCTCTTCGAGCCACCTCTTGAAGCAGGGAGGGGAGGCAGATTTCCACTCCCCCAGAATCAGACGTTTGCCAATAACCATACCAAACATGAAGGCCTGTTGAACAGCAAAGGGAAGTGCCAAGGAGTCGCCGGAACAGCCCAGGATCACCATAAGACAGTCAGGATACAGTTGCCTATCATAAACAGTGCTATAGATAAATATATAAATACAGGCCATATGTTCATGCAGGTGAAAACAAGCCATCCTTAAGCAGCCAAAACAGAGAAAAAACCCATCCAAGAAATTGGATGGGAAACCAAATGAACAATCTCTACAAGGTAGGCGTATTGATAGTCCAGCATAAAGAGAAGACTGCATGAAAGTAAAAACAGAAGTTTCACTGCAAGATCCAAGTCATTCATAAGGCTCAAGAACAGAAAGGTTAGATTGGACAAAAAAAAAAAAAAAGCCAGCCCACTTCTTGAAAATCATAGCCAAGATCAACCTCTACCACAGTGTCAGCAAGAAAAAGTATGGAGAAGATATGGAACATTCTCATGATCCAAAGCATACCACATCTTGGGAGTGTAAGGCTGCCAGTGGCACTAGGACACTAGTGTTTATTGACCATGTGACACAGGACAAGCAACCAAATTAATTCTGAAGGGTAAGAGCCATACAGCCAAAGCAACAGCCAAGCAGGAGTTTAATAAAGCACAGAAGTGCTTAAACCGAATTGAGCATTCACTTCCCTTGTTGAAGAAAAAACTTTGGACAGAAAGGCCCACAAACAAACAGCACCTGAAAGCCGCTGCAGTAAAGGCCTGGCAGGGCATTAAAAAAATTGGAAACTCAGGTTGTGATGTCCATGAGTTAAAGGCTTCAAGCTGTCATTGCCAGCAAAGGGTTTTCAACCAAGTATTAGTAATGAACATTTCATTTTCAGTTATTTAATTTGTCCAATTACTTTTTAGCCCCTGAAATGAAGGAATAAAATGCTTTAGTTCCTCACATTTTATGCAATTTTTCTGTTCAACCCACTGAATTAAAACTGAAAGTCTGCAATTTCAATGCATCTGAGGTGTGTTATTTAACATTCATTATGTGTTAATGTACAGAACCAAATTAAAAAACAAACAAACCTGTGCCTCTGTCCAGATATTTATGGACGTAATTGTACTACACACCATGATGAAATATGACAAGTTTTCAACTAACAGATCTTTGGAAATCACCTTATCGTTGCAAAAAAAGAAGAAAAAAAGAATGAGAAAAACATTTTAAAAACGTATATGTATGCAGGTTTATTTAACTTTTAAGACAAATAAAAAAACAAATCAATTTACAATGCAGACCAAAGACCATGTTTTAGTTATTTAATCTTTTACGCAAAGCTGCCACATTTGAGACACCAGAGTATGTTATACTATCACTACCATATACCAAAGTGGTTCTCAGAAATGTTCTGCTATGCCCCGTCTTACAAAGTTGATCCCAGGAAGTCATTAACAATCAGTAAGGTGCAAGTCCTGTAGTTAAAGGGCAACATTAACACATAACCAGACTGTTGGCTGTTTATTGACATTCACAAAAGTAACAAGTAACAAACAAAGAATCAAAAAAAATATATCAGTTTATTTTAATTTCACCTCAGTTTGTCCCCAGGTAATCCATGCTTTTATAACAGTGTCTTTGTGAAGCCACCAGTAAGTAATACCTCATAATTTTAATGTGTAAAGATATGATGCCAAAGGGAAGAGATTTTTACTGGGTTTCACTTTTTTGACAGGTTTTAAAGAGCCAAATGTGCCTTGGCTGTTTTGTTGCATGCTAAATTCAGGCTTCAGGATAGGTTAAGGCTTTGCATATAGCTGTGATGGCTAAGGTTGTGGAAAGGTCAAATGTAACAAATAACCATTAGTGTAAAAACAAAAACAATGCTGTCTACACTTCAGTAACAAGAGAAAAATAGCTCAAGGTGTACAGTTAAAATACATATACAAGTGCATCGAATGCTAAGAAGGATTAAGATAGCTAAATATGTTTTAGTAAAAAATATGGAGGTACAAAAATACTTACTTCTAAATACTTATTTACTTCTAAGACAAAATCTAAACACTGATTTAGCAACAATGACTTGATTGGTCAGATACTGGTCAAAAGTCATGCTCCTCAGAAAAAAAATTTGGTATCTCTATCATTCACTGCAGTAAAAGTTCGTACCTAAAACAGATGTGCAAAAGTTCCACTAGGAAATCAACAGGTCTGTGAAAACAACATGAAATAAGGGAAACAAAACCTTTCCTTTCTAATGTCAGGAAAAGGAGACTCTCCCGGAAAATGTTCAGACTTAATGTTTCTTATAGATGGTTAAATGAAAAAATTTAAGCAGGATAAGACCTTTGATTTTAATTCAGTGTGCCCCAGAGCAGCTGTGGCTACAATGTAGCTTGCCATCACCAGTGTGTGAATGTGTGAATGACTGAATGTAGTGTAAAGCACTTTGGGGTCCTTAGGCATTAAGTAAAGCGCTATACAAATACAAGCCATTTACCATTTAATTAAAAAACAAAAAAACAAAAAAAAAAACCTAAAATAATAAATCTGGCAAAATGGAGGATCTTTTATCTGTATAAAAAAGTCCCTGATGAGTGATTGAGATTCCTTTTTTTTTTTTAAATAAAAAGGACAAAGGCAGGGCTGCATAGTTATAAAATTATATACTAATGATACTGGTTGAAATTACAGAGCAAGTGTTTGCACCCTCAGCTTTGGTTGCTCAGTAGTAATTATACAACAGACAGACAGATTACTGCATTCAAGGTGTTGTCTGGTGTGAGTGTTTGTACTGTCTGCGAGCTGTTTTGAACCCAATGTCTGCGTGGGCTTTCGTGGTGTACTGCTGATGAACAGGCTGTGTGTCTAAACTTGTGCTGGTACTGTACATTTTAAACCTAAAAATATACAATTAACATTGTTACCCTTCATGAAGGGTAGTAATAATAAGCAGATGGGGAAAAACAAAAACAGCTGTAACCACATTAATATAACTGCTATCAACAGCCAACTGCAGATGAAAGCACTTCAAACTGTTGGTGGAAACAGTATGGATCCCAAATACTGCTTAAGTTGTTCATGACAACAGGAACAGGCAGTAAAAGCCACATCCAAAATGCTGTGGCAGTGGGAGTGACATGCAAGGAGAGTGGGAGTCAGTTACCAATGTTTTGCGTGTATTTATGCAATTACTGCAATTTTAAAGTAAGACAAAAACATTTATAAACCTGAATCACAAAATAAAAGGGATTCGCGGGTAGGAAATGTTACCAAATACCTCCATCTATTCATCTGTATGTTTACCAGTTGACTGTGGAATGACACGTTGGTGGAGGCATCGGTCCAGATGTTGTCCCTTATTTGCTCCCACAGCTGTTAGAGGAAGCCGGGGCAGAACATTAATTTAAAATTGCATTTAATTTCAACTGAACATGAAGAGACTTTCAGTTTATCTGCTAATGAATGTTTAATATTATAAAACTATTATAATTATAAACGTTTAATATCCTAGACAATAGTAATGGAAAAATTATTATTTTAACTTCTCAGCTCCTTGAAATTGTTTCCTCAAGAAAAGCATATTTAATAAAATGCCTTTTGCATGACTAAAACTATAAATATACCTCAGATAATAGAGTTTTACATTAAATTCAAGTAAAACTAATCACAACCAAGGCAAGAGAGACTCAACTCCCAATAATAATGTCATTTATATAGATCATCAACTAATAAACTACCTGTGGTATTGCAACATACTTTTTTAATAGAACGAATTATGAAATATGTTGCTTTAAGAAGTACTCAGCCCTTGATAATGCTGCAAACAGCTAGTTTGCAATGTGTCTTTCAATGGCAGCTTAGTTACAGCCTATTGTGGTATGTGGGCCATGTGTAAGCACATTGTGTGGGCCAGATCTGGGCCATACCAAGTTTGCTATGTGGGACACTTCTGTAAAAGCTTCTGAGGAAATTATCCAATTTGAGACCCTCAAAACGGATGTTTGATTTTGAATTGTGCAAAAAAATAAAAGAAAAAAAGAAAGAAAGACATTTATATTGTTTTCCAGCCCCTTGAATTAAACCTGAGTCTGGACTGTACCTGCATTTGATTTTTTTACCCTTTTCTACTTACCAAAGATTACTAGACCCAGTTGTCCATTATGTCCATATACTGTTATATCAGAATGACTACATATTATACCACATATTAGCTATGTTATTGTTCAAAGTACCTTTTAAAACGTCCAGATTTATAAAAGTACCATGCTGCAGCCCCAACATTCAGGGAAAGCAAAACAAGAAATAATGCCCAGGCAACACGGCTTGTTCCTGCAGGGGCACAAGAAGAAACAATATTATGGGAAAGAAATTAAATATTGTTCTTTCTCACTTCCTTAACATTTAGTTTTATATTTCACATTCAAAACTTCCTTGTATTTTCAAGTTTTAACGTACAAAAATAAATTAGATGAACTTGATATGACCCTGAAAAAAGCTTTCACAAGCTAGGACACGCTCTGAGATTCTGTCAGTGAGGCAGAATAAAATGTATTAATAACATGTGTTGCACTGGGTGAAGCATCCGACAACCATTCATCAACATGCAACATGACACAACATCCACAAAAGCTCAGATCTAAAAAACAGAAACAAAAGATAGATTTGAACAAACTGTAAAAGCTAAGACTTCACCTGATGTCACATGCACATAGAGCTGACCGTGTTTACTTCCATATGCGTTAGATGCTTCACACTGATAGAGTCCATTTAGATCAGACGTCAGGCTGAGCAGTTGTAGGTTTGCACCGTCTACTTTGACAGCAGACTCCAGCAAAGACTGGCCAGATCTAGAAAAACACGAATGAGACTCAACATGAAATGTACAGAGAGAGCAGAAAACTGTTGTACCAAAAGTCGAATACATTTCAGTTATAAGCTCTTTGTTATAGATCTTTACTTGCTCACACTAAGATTTTGTATAAAAAAAATAAGAGTAAATGGCACTTTTCATGTTAATTTCTGCTTTTTTGAAGAAAATCTTGTGTGAGTAAGGTTTCATGCCACTGTATTTTGTGCATATCAGCAGAGCCCTGCTAAATCTGTTCAAACTACATCAGTCTACACATTTGTCTTCAATGATTGATGATTCAATGATTTGGGAGCATTGATTGAAGCATTCAATGTAATGCAACTAAACAACATCAATTTCAGATATTAGATAATAGAAGATTCAGTTTCACCACATCTGATTCTCATTTATCTCACCTGATTAACACTAGCAGAATGAGCTTGCTCTCTCAAGTATTGAAAAAAATATAGCCACTTAAGATTAAAAAAATATAACTTGAAAATATTTAAAGCACTGCATTGGCCAGGGATTCCTCACATTTATTGGATCATCAGTGAATTACAGAGAGAGAAGCCAAAGATCGCTGAGTGACACTGGTGCGGTTTAATATGAAAAGAGTTTATAAGTATGTGAAAAAAAATCATGTTATTTGTAATTCCACTTTTGTTTTATGAACATAGTGAATTTCTTACCAACAATTACATTTAAAAATGTCCCAACTTTAAGTATGAACATCATACATCATGAAAACAGCTTTCCCTGAAGACCAGGCATTTCTATAGTTCAGAAGCACCTGATAAAATTATTTGTTTAGTTGCTATTTTTTGGAAAGCATCATCCATATATCGACCGACACATCACTTATGGGTATGTGTATAAAAGTATAGTAAAAATGCAAGGCAGGGTGTCTGTACTGCTGTGATTGGCTGAAAAGCCAAGAAGACAAATGAATCATCAATGCTCTCAGCTGATCTTCTTGAGAGCCTCTTTACCATCTGCCTTTCTACATCTAGTAGCAATAAAGGGCATGCTGAAGCAGTTTTCATTACTTTTGAAGAGTCTACCTAACAGATGCAGCAGGTAAATGTAATGCTTTAAGCATTTTGTGTTGCTGTGTTTATGTTTTGTTTTTAATGCAATTTTTGACTGTTTTGCTTTTCCATTACTTTAAGTGGGAACACAGAAGCTGGGAACAATTCTTGCCTTTGTCACTGGAGCTAATACTCTTCCACCAGTTAGCTTCTCTCCACAACTTACCATTTAGGTTTTTTTTACCAACACCAATCCAGGAACCATGTGTAAACTACCTCATGAATCCTCATATCATGAACAAATTAAATGGTCTTGGGTTGCTTGGCTGCTATTACTTCAACAAAGAATTCTACACCCAACCCTAACATGAGATAATCATCTGTTGAATAAGATTTTTTTTATTTTAAATTAGGCGACTTTATGAATTTTACACTCTAGTTGTTGAAAACTTTTAGCAAGGTAACACAGTCGCAGTCTTGTTACCTTTGTTGCCCAACACCAATATAGCCCTGGTTTTGAATCCAAAAACTTGGACTTATAAAGATCTAACTAAACACAAAAACCTTTTAACTATTTGGAAGCAATATCTAAAAACAGTAAAAGGCTAATGTGTGTGTGTTAGTCCCCATAGGGAAATAGTTCCTCTGCATTTAACCCATTCACCCAGTGAAGCAGTGGGCAGCCACCAATGCAGCGCCCGGGGAGCAGTGTGTAGGGACGGTACCTTGCTCAGGGGTGCCTCAGGGTAGCCGTTCAGTGGAGTCGAACCCCCGACCTTCCGATCATGGGGCCACCACTCTACCTACTGAACTATCCCTGCCTTAATGTAATTGTCTGGACATTGTAACAACAATTAAATAGAGCTCTTATGCAAAATTCTAGTTTATCCTCACATTTAGACTTTATGTGTTTAAAATCTCACTGTAGGGTTTGGTATAACCTTTGTATGCTTAGGTGAAGTGTGTGTGTGTGTGTGTGTGTGTGTGTGTGTGTGTGTGTGTGTGTGTGTGTGTGTGTGTGTGTGTGTGTGTGTCAGTATGACGTCGTAAGGAAAACTGCTTAGCTAGGTGCAATGATGTTTCATTATGTTATCTGCTAACTGTTTTGCTCAGAAGGATGAATCTCAGAGCCAGCGCCAGGAGCTTCCTGGGAAAAGATAGTGGGAGTATCTTTTAGGTCTTCATCCACAGGCTGTGGGACCTAAAGATACAGAGAGTTGTGTGTGGAGGGGTAAAAGAGAAGCATCCGAAGGGCAGAGCAGGCATGACTGTGAACTGTGATGTTTGATGTGTGTGTTGGCTCTCCTGCCCAGAAATAAATAGCTCTTTCCGTGTTGCAGACTTTATTCCATTTTGCAAAATTCCACAACAATACTGACTCACTGTTGGTATATGTATTAAATAGCAATATTTAAGTCCATCTAATTTTCTCTGGACACATGGGCAGCATCTCTGTATTCCCATTCACACATGGAAAATCCAACATCCAATTAGAGTCATCATGTACGTGCTCTAGCGGTCAAGACAATGGCATTACTGAAGACACCAGTGTTACAGTATTAACCTGAAGTGACCTCCCTATAACTTCAAAGTAGTTCAGAGTTAAACCATCTAAAAGTTACATTATCAACCACATTATATATGTACTATACACAAATGAACTGGGTTTATATAGTTTATACAACGATATCAATTAAAGATGAAAGTGAGGCCACATAGGCAATTTATGGAAAAGCAGCACACTTGATGGTCTCTCAAATGTAATCCCTGTTCATACAAATAAAGGTGGATCAGTTACACGTATAACTGAAAGTCTTATCTTTTCTCTGGCTATTGGCTAAAAGATCAGAAAAATAAAATCTCAATAGCTGAATCTTGATAGCATCTGCAAGAGCTTGCCAAAAAAAACAGTACCTAAAATACTGGTATGAATGACGTTAATGTCAAAAGGTGATGTCGCTATCAATAAATCATCTCCTTGGGTTCCCCTCCAGTTGCTCTTCAGTTTCTGGGATAACACCAATGGGATAGAAGTATGCATGCAAAATAGCTGCAGGTTCAGGTAACTGTCTGTTCTTTTTTTCCCCTTTTTTTAAAATTTTCTTTATTTTTTGCTCAGACACATGAAAAATTAGAGGGAACATTGATCGTGGGACAGAAATAAAGTGAGTAAAAAAAACTACCTAAATGCATTTAGAATATATTTAGAACTATAAATTAAATTATTTTAGCAATTATTGGTTTTTTTAATGTCATAATTCCAACCCTCCTCCTTTATCCAGGCTTGGTACCGGTGTTCTGACAAACCATTCTATTTTGGCAAAACGTCCTACTGTAAGTAGTTTATGCACATTTCTCCTGTGACAGAGTAATTCCAGCACAAATATAAGTAGGTATGACAGTTTGCCACTTAACTTTGCCCATCAGAGTATGCTTGTAGCTCATATTCATAAAGCCAGGATGGTTTGCACTTAATTTTACCCTTTAAGTATGCTTGTAGGTCACATTCACAAAGGTAGCATGGTTTGGCACGTAATTTTGCCCATCAGTTGCTAAGTTGGCAACACTGTTCATAAGGACAAAGACATGAGCTCACCGGTCCTCTGGCCAGGTCAGCTAACAATAACACAACTTTCCATGGTACCTTATCATTAAGAAAAGAATGACCTCATAAACTTTTTAAAACAGCACCAGTTCTTTACTTTCTAAAAGGATTGCATTAATAGAAAAATGGCTCCTTTCTCTGTCATATGCGTGGGCATACATTTTCTAAATCCATGTTATGGATGTTATTTTCTTAACAAACTGAACATGAGGAACATTATGCTTCTGAGAGAAAGTGAGGTGGAGGATTTTTTTAGGGTATTAAATCACTGAGCAATTAAGTTTAACTGGCTGACCTTTTGATCAGATGGCAGATTATGTGCTTAAAGTACTCACACTGAGCTTTCATCTGATATCATAGTCTGCAGTTTATTTTGCAAAATTCACTGCCAGCACTACAAAAAGAGTTTTTACCCACATGTGTACATGTGCCTCTAAATATAAGTCTCTTTCTCTCTCAGCATTTAAATGAATATTTCAACCGAAACCATTACTAAAACTGCTTTACCTGATCCAGGTGAATTTTGCATTTGGGTTAGCTTCTGTCACACACTCAAACGAATCCTCTGAAATTGCTGAAATTTTCACTTCTGTAGGAGAAACTGCAAAAATCAAAGAAAAAAAAAACAAAAAAAAAACTGTAAACCCCAAACTAAGGAAATACTAATCATGTCAAAATAATGTTTCATAAATGTTTGAACCCTGTCACGTCAGGCAAAACCACAAATCTTGGTTTTCATTCAGTTTCAAAGATTAATCCTTTCAAACACAGTCAAAGGTGTCACCGGCTCACGTACAGTCACTTTATACTAAAAACAACATATTAGGTTTCTTGATCTTTTGGGGAATTCCACCAGAAACAGAACACCACAGTTATATAACATCACTAAAAAAAGAGCACACAATACTTCAAAACAGCCTCAGTTAATTTTACTTATAGTTTGACATATAAATTGCTTGTTTGATAATACCCATGTATATATTATATATATATAATGTTCTTCCTCTACCCCCCTGCAATTTTTGCACAAGTCGAGGAGCGTGTCAGGTTACATTTCACTGTGTTTTATACTTGTATAACTATGCATGTGACAAATAAAGAACCTTGAACCTAGGGGAACTGCACAGATTTTCTCACTGGAAAGAGAATGATGCTAATTGAACTCATCATCTAGCTTGAGAAGACAGCTTTTACTTAGTGACATGGTGTTTTGTCATGCAGGAACCAGTAGGACATAACCTCAGGCCAGAAACTCTGCAGGACAGGCTGAATATCTGAAATAGTAGTTTATTGGTACTGAGAGGTGAAGGTCTGCAGAGAGAGAAACTAAAATTACGGAACAACTGACAAAAAGTGACATACATTATATTAATAATTTATCTAATAAGAATGCATGTATAGAACCACATTGCACACAAATATTCCAGTATTGTAGTACCAGTCACTGAGGAAACAGACTTGTGTCTGGACTCAAAGTCAATAGTTTCATCTCACTGGAATAACTACTGTGGTATGACTTCACTGTATTTTTTTGGTTATGCCTCCAATGTTTACATGATTTCATCTTTTGCAATAGTGGTGTAACAACACCCTTTATACGAGTCTAAATGTCGTCACTTAGTCTTTCCGGTTTTTGAGGAATTCTCTCCGTCTGCTGTGACAACCTAACATTAAGAGACTTAACACAGAGGCAAAGTCATGCCAGCAGGGATAAGGTTGCAACTGCAAATGCAACCCCCCCCCCCCCCCCCCCGCTAAAACCTTCTCCTGAACAAAGACAGAAATATGAGAACGTTTATGTCTGTTTTTGTATAAAACAGGCTGAGATTGATCCTGGGTGTGTTGGTGTACTTTATTAATGATTTCATGAAACTGTTAAAATTCTTAAATGAACAGTGATAAAAAAAAAGAAAGAGGAAAAATAATAAACTCCATGAACAGCTGATACTCACAGTAGACCTGTATGGTGAAGGCCAGGGTTTCTTCAGCAGACAGGGAGTCACCACTGATGACACACTGGATCTGGTGACCATTAATCTCTCTCGTAGGAACACCAAACAGAGAGCTGACTGTGGTAGTCGTACCGTTGTCATACTGGGTGGAGTTTGTTGTTGTCCTCACTTTGTCTCCCAAAGCACCAGTGAGCCACCTCACCTCTGCAGGAGGCTTCGATCCAGCAGCCGTGCAGGTAGCAAATAAAACCTCTTCTGTGCCCAAAGTGGGAAGATTGTCCTTGACGCTTGTGAAAGGAGGCACTAGGAGAGTTACAGCACACAAATAAGTTGACATGTAAGCATGACAGTAAAAGTAACTCTATCTACATCGGTTATACAAACACCTAGAATATCTTAAAACACATTTCATTTGTATACCAAGCAGGTTTAGAGGAATCTCAATCTTCTGATTTCCACTTGGAAACAGGGTGAAGATGCATGTGTAGCTGCCTTCATCCTTCAGGGCAACATTGGATAACTGGAGAGTTCCATTTTTGTTGTTAAAATTCCCGACATATTTAAATCGATCATCACGTCCATTGACAAACTGTAGTCCATTTCTGGGTTGGATAGTAATAAAATTGTCATTATGAGGGTTTTTTCTAGTCTTCCTTTGCCAGGTAATCTGTGTCAGGTCATCATTGGTATCAGTGACATGACACGGTAAGATGGCCGTACCTCCTTGAACCGCTGTCACTCTTCCACCAATCACCTGTAGAGCTGTAAAGAGCATGAAACACTAAGATCAAACATCAGCTTAAAGATAAGAGACAAGAGAGGAGATGCTTTACACAGATTTAAAGTTACAGCTAAAGCAGTTAATTAAAAGTAGTCTAACATAAATGTAAATGCTGTAATTTGATTATTTTAATAAACCACATAACTTGGATGGATTAGATGCTGGCGTGACCACAGTGCACGTCTGATTTACACAGATTTAAAATTACAGCTCCAAGTCCATCTAGGATAAATTGTTCAAAACCCAAGCAAAAACTCTCAGAGCATAGTGTCTGATTTGGTTATTTGGCCTGTACAGAACCATTTGGAGCCATGGGTGTGGCTTCCTGGTTTTTACCTAAAATGGGACACTCAGCTACAATGCGTCCAGGCTTCATACAATAAAAACACATTTTTCCAAGTTCAATATAGAAGAACTAGAAACGTTGGTACGGCCACTTCCTTTAGCATCAGGATGAGATATTTGTCACTAGTGCGGACTTAATGGGTGTCAGGGTATTTCATACATTATTCCAAATCAAGCACCATGGTGACAACTCAAAACAGTCACTTTATTCAGTCTTGCAAAGTTGCCTGCCTCCAACAGCTCTTTTGTCTTGTACTAACAAACAAAAGGAACAAAAGAAAAACACTAGCAAAACAGTTTTAGTAACTGTAGGCCACAAAGCACAATATAATTACAATACAACAAACCACAGTACAGTAAAGACAATTAAAACTCAAAATACCATTTACCACACAAAATGTGACCGACAT